TATCCCTTTTTATTTATTTGTATAATGCCTTTGCCTAGATCGAGGAACGAGCTTTAAAAAGGAGGCTGGAAAAAAATTGTCGTTAAAACAATAACTAAATTCTTTAGGTCAGCTCTTTATGTGGCATTAAGCAGCTTCTATTGAGCATTTGGTAGTCTGTGATTTTCAGCTTATCTCTTCAGGTTTTTCCACGATAAAAATCCATCAAATTAAATAATCTATAAAACAACAAAATTAATAACAAATGTTTAATTTTGTAATGGCAATTGAAACTAGATAAAAGTTTAAATAAGATACAAGGTGTGGGATAGATATATAGTATTAGGGATTTTTGGAAATACACCTTTGGTGCTTTTATTTCTAATAAAACTATTCATGTGAATTGCAGAATCCTTAGTACAAAGACTTCAAAGGTGTCAGTGTTGAAGTGGCATCTGCCCTTCTCATCTCATCTGAAAATAAGTATCCAGGGAAGGTTGAGAAATATTAGTTGCACAAATGATAGAACAATACAGCTGATGGCACCAGACCACAGTTGCAATTAACATTTGTGTTTTAGAGTAAGTCAAAGATTCATAACTAGAGCTATTTTCTTTTGTTGAATTTTTCCGTGTTAATAGGAGTAAAAAAAAAAATAAAATAAAAATTAAAAAAAATCTAAAAGAAAAAGCAAATGGCAAATAACACTGAATTTATGCTCTTTTTTTTTTTTTTCTCTACAAAGAAAGAGATTACTTCTAAGTAATGGTTCTAAAATGAAAATGTTTTTATTGAATGATTGTTTTCTCTTGTGACTCACAAAGAGAAAGAAGAGGGGCTGTTATGAAAAAGCTGCCAGTCTATAAAATTTAAATTCTTACCAACTTTAGCTTTAAGGACTTTGGGACTCATTTCTCATATGCCACAATGCAAATGTAAACTGTATTTTACAAACACTTTAGGGCTGTTTTATAATGCCAGAACTATGAAAAGTGCCCACAGGGTAAATGAGAATCAACCACTAGCCGGTGGCCAAAGCCTCCAGCCTCCAGTCTGGATTAGGACCGTTGAGAAAATGTCTGAAACAAGTCACAGTCTTTGAAATGTTCTATTCAAAACTTCTGTTGCTATCAATTTGACAGGGAAAGAAGGTCTGTTTGAAAGTTATACATGAAAATGTCAGTGTTTGCACCACATTTTTCATATTTGTACATAACTTTCTAGATTTTTCAAGAGTCTCAACAGACTTTATCATATTCTGTTTTATTATTCCATTCTGCTTTCACTGATAGGTTGTACAAATGACTGGAGCCACTCAGGGCAGAAGTGGTGGTTTGTGCCAGCAGGTTCTTACATTACCTGCAAGTACTGCAAGTGAAAACAGCATACTTTGGGATTAAAAATCTGTGGAAATCCAAATTTAATAATTAGATGCATTTAGGTCTACAAGAAATGTATTTCCCATACAAAATATACCCTATTTTTTTATTGGAGAGTGATTTTACCATTTGAAGTGTGCTATAGCAGCAGAGTTTTAGAGACCTGTTTTCCTACGTGTCACTTGCTTGTGTCCTTCTGTGGTATTTGCAAGTCATAATCAACATAAATAGCTATTAGCATGTGTTGTGCTTACTTAGCTGGCAGAATTGCGGAGAACAAAGGCAGGCACTGACTTATCAGATAATTTACTCTTGATCCTATACCAAATCCAAACAGCCTTTCTCCTGGGTTATCCAGTGCTTCAGGAAACACCCAGATTCAGAATCCCTTCTTCCAGAGAAGAGCTGGGTTGGAGAAGAGATCTCTAGGATGTCTGGCCACTGAAGAGTGGCTTTTTAGAGCTTGTGGTTTGTAATATTTGTTCATAGAGAGGAGTAAAAGATCTCAAAAAACTTCTCAATGCAAAGAGAAACAAAATGAATTTTCTATTTTTTTTTTTTTTTGATGGCTTTTTATTGAGAAATTAAAGGAATTAAAGTAAATCAGAAATCAGTGTTATAAGCTGAAAAGCACACAGGCCTTACTTCAGCAACTACCTGAAGAAAACAAAAGAATATCCCAGTCCAAAAACAAACAAACAAACAAAAAAAGTTTGTTTTGCAGCGAAGCCTCCTGAATAGTAAAAGCCATAGACCTTGACCCAATACTTGCCATGAGATAATTCTGGAAATTCTGTACTTCCTGCAACGCCCTGAATACTCTGCAAGAAAGTAGCAGAAAGGACAGGATAATTCTGAGCTCTTTATGCCCAAGAACAAGCTCAGTCCCCACCTATGTTCTCACTAATTTCACCTCTCCCATGGACAGAAACCCCATCAGCTGAGAATGAGACAACAGTTTAGTGAGTGAGGCAGCAAGTAAGGAAAAGGGACTCTATTTTGTCATTTTCTGTTGCCATGAACTTTCTCTTCAGGACTGCATCACACATGATGCAGAATATACCAGATAGGGCCCTGGTGAGAATAAAGGAATTGAATATTGCAAAGTGGTGCAATGGGAGCCATATAGAAATACTAAGATAAATACAGATTTGATAAATTACTGGCAAAGGCACTGGAGGGAACAATACAAGATGATGCAGTCAGGCTTTTTCATCTCTAACGCCTGTGACCCTGAGAGAAGACATGGCTTTCCAGAGCTCAGCACCCGAGGCAAGATGTTTTAGTCATTTTATAAATAATTACCCCCTGAGACCTCTCAGATTCTAGAATAATAAAATGTAGCTGTAGGTCTTCAAGTGTGCTGATATACAGATGTCCGTTTCAGAACACATAGAAATACTGCAGGCCCACACTGTTTAGCTCAGATTGCCACTGCTAAGGTGTGTAAGGTGCTCGGCAAGGCATCTGCGCAAATTTATCTCCTGGGCTGCACCTATTGCTTGGTATGGCATGGGTTTGCTCTTAAGGCTTCCAGCATGTTAAATGGAGAGACACGCATGTCCTTCCTGGTTGCAGTGAAGACAGCTCCCAGAGAGCTGAGGATTTGTCCCAGTTGTCTCTGCTGAGCAGCCTTTTATTTTAGCTCTACATCTAGCAACATCTAGTAGCTAACTTAAAATAAAAAAAATTCCAACAACTATTGAAGGGACAGTCATCAGTTTTTGCTCCTGACATCCTTGTTTCTTAGGCCTGTTAAGCAAAGGGATAATTTGCTGCAGAGGAAGTATAGTAAATAGAATACATTTTTACAAGTATGTGATTACTAAGGAGTACCTTTATAAATATGCATAAATTCATGCACTCTCTGAAACAGTGCCACCCTATATGAGCTCTCACAAAGGTTCATATGCACATCTTGTTAATTTGAGGCTTCTTAAAGGCCTTTTTTATATCTTCTACAAGATGTTTTGTCTTGAATCACTTTGCCTGACAGAAATATTACTTACACTAAAATCTTTAACGTGAGATGCACTATAAAGAAGTTGTTTCATTTAATAACATTCATTGTATTAGTTCCCCCTAAAGTAATCACTTTGATGAGAACACACTCTGTGTTCCTTTATTTGATCTGGGAATAAAATTATCTTGTCTTTACTTGAGTATCTCCTTCTTATTTTTCCTAGAATAAATAAACATGAAGCTGTCACTGCAGAGCAGGCACTGCCTCTCCCTGTTAAGAACCTTTTGATTTTTGTGTTGAGAGATTTTTTTTCTGCACAATGATCCTTTTAGAATATGCTTAGAGTACTATATTTTCTTGTTTCCTTGTTTCCCATGTACATAAGTAATGACAGAGTTCCTGGTGTCCCAGTAGATTATATGTCCTATTAAATTTTATTTCCTCCTCATAGAACTGATCAGATTATTTATCATCAATAAGTTATTTAATGTATCAGGCACTAATAACCCTAATCATCAGGCACAATAACCCTAATAATCAGGCACTAATTTTAGTAAAATTACTATTATACCAACTAAGGCTACCAGTTGTGAGATTTGGGCCATTTTATACCATTAAAACATACAGCAGCTGGTCTGTCAAGTCTTATGCATATGCCTGACTTGTGAATTAATCACCTGCATGGGTGTCACGAGTTGCTAAACTCATGTTGTGGACCTGACCCATGTCAGGGCCTCAGCACTGTCTTCTATACTTCCATGGGGCCACAACTTCAGCTCTTTTTTAAGTCTTTGTAAGATGGAGGCTTCATTGCAAAATCTTTATGGTATGAGCTTAGCTTCTGAAGTGAGGAGATAGTGAGGTAAGTATGCCTTCTTCCTCATTTTCACCAAGTAAAGATTTGGGTGATTAGTCTTCATCCAAGCATTTGGGTTAATCAAGTGTTGGAGGATGATATTGATGAGGATTGCATCCTCTTTTAGGCCATAATGAACAACTACTTTCAATGTAAGGAGTAACATGAGTTGGAGAATAATGCTGATAACTTACATTACTACAGTTTTTAAAATTATTATTTGAAGGATCAAATCACAAAACTATTCATGCTAAATCTTGTAACCTCCTTCAGATGGTTCTGCTACTGCCTGCCACATTCACCAAGAGCCTGCAACATGTGGCTTCTTGGCAGTACTAGCCAAAGGATCACAAGGTAAAAAGGAAAAAAGAAAAAAGAGCCCACCAGCTGTGGAAGAAATGGGTCTGTCACAGACAAGTTATTGTTAGCTGTGATGATATTATATGGTAATATATATGTTAGCAAGATGACATTGCTTTGAATCACAGCACTACACACACTCACACCAACTCTAGCTGTGGGCTTTCAAAAAGCTGTAAATGTGGATTTGGTTGTGTACTGCTTACACTTGATGTACTAAAAATCAGCAAAATTCTCTGATAGAAAACTAGAATTTCCTGGGCTTATTTACTACAAAAGAGGTTATTGCGTCATGAGATGTAAATGTTGGATGCTTGTAATTCTGTGGGAACATCAGCAAGAAACACTGGACTGCATGGTTTCTGAAAGTCCAAAGTGGTAATCTATTTGACGCACCTCCAGGCTTTCAGAGATGCATTTAAATGACACGTTATTATTTGTAGTTTTTCTTCTCATTTTGGAGACAAGCCAGAGCCTTTTTACAACATGTTATGTTGGTGACTGGATAGTTCCGGGGGCTAATGAGGAGACAGAAGATCACAGTGAACCCAGTGACCATTTCAAATCCAAGTAAGTATTGTTCATTTGCTCTTTAATCTGGTATCTAATCGAAGTAGGTGTTACTCGCTTAGTCTTTAATCTGGTAGCTATCTGATAAAGGCGTATGAGAAATGAGTTGACTGTGTCAGTGCAATTTGCCAGACAGTTGTAAGAAATTAGCTTCCAAACTGAGGTATTTATTAGTAGCACTTGTGAAGAAGCTAGCAACTCAACAAGAGCAGAATTCTTGTCATCATTAGTCAAAGGACTGACACACTTGAAGGAAGAGGATAAATACACTGGGCTGTTTTACAGTTTCCTTGCTGAAAGAACAACAGCACTTTTTCGCTCAGATAACATCAGAGGCTAGTTAAAGAGTGGAAAGGAGGTGGCTTTAAGGACCAGGGAGAAAAGCAGATGCTGGATGTTTCCAGAGAAGATGGAAGAAGAGCTTCCCTGCTGGACCCTGGGGACAGCCTCCCCCTTCCTGGTGGTCTCTGTCCTCTGTGAAGGACAAAGGGCCATTGTGTCACATTGTCCCCCCAGCTGTGTAGCTGTCACTCTGAAATCACTCACCCACGTTACAGTCACTTGCGATTGTGAAGAAAAGCTGCTCACAGCTGCAGGACAGGGAATCCCTGTCACAGTGCTGCTGCGAGGTTAAAAACAAGTGGGCCCTACGGTCAGGTTTTTCATTTTTAATCTAGATTTTTTAAGAGAGCATTTAATTGTATTTACCTCTAGCTGTTTTTCATCGATGTTGAGAGGATCATCCTCAGGAAACAGTCAAGCTCTCTTCTCACCCTGTGTGAGACTTTGGTGCTTGTTTCAATTTGAATCTTTTGCACCCTAATTCAGAGATGTGCCTTTCCATCCCCTTCTTAACAACTGGAAAAGGAGAGGTCAGCTCTCAGTAGGCTTCATTAGTCCCTTAAGAGGCTTTCAGGACCCCAGTGGCATGCACCACTGGGAGAGGTATCCTATCCAGCCTGAGATTTGGTGCCAGCCCTGTGCACTGTCCCCAGAGCCCCACCAAAGCCACCCCACCACAGGGCAGCTTCATCCAGGCAGCAGACTTCCTGGGGACTATGGCAAGTGCTGACAGCTCTCGTGGGCTTGTTAGCCCAGTATCATCCATGGGTAGGTGAGGGCAGGGCTGCTTTTATTTTTTCCTAATTCCCTTTCAGTTAGACAAACTGTAAGTGGATGAATATAAACAAAGAGGGAGCAGTCTTTGTAATTTATGAGCAAACATTATAGATTATGAGCTGAGGGACAGGGGCTCAAGAGGCGGCAGTTCAGCAGCCAGTCAGAATCACCAACTGAATTTTTCTTTACTTACTTTTAGGGTTTTTAGTGCCCTCTGGAAGGACATCAACAAGATTTAGACACAAGCATATCACTGCTGTAATGAACACTGACAAAAGATTCAGAAACTGGGAACTGGAAATGCATTTGCAATAGTTCTACTTTGGGAATTGCTACCATAATTACACCAGTTTAGAAAGCAATCCCTTTATAAGTGCTTTTACCCCATCATGGATCACACCAGGGATTATAGCATTTTAATGATCTTGGTGACTAAATTGTAAAACACCTATGAGAGTACAAAATCTAGGAGAAATTTTGGCTCCATTGAGGCCATAGAAAAACTCCTACTGACTTTGTTGGAGCCAGCATTTGAGCAAAAATTCATCCTAATTTTCCAGGTATGACTGGGTCCAGTCACAAAAAGGGGCTTATAATTTTGCCTCGTACTCTTAATATGTGACTATGAGCAAAATGATACTTCTCATGCACAAATACTACAAACACCTTGAATTTTATTTCACGAAAGATGTTATGACATGGAATACACTGTTTCTTCATGAAACATGCACCTTTTAATAGCAGTTACTGAAAGGGTGATATATATATGCCTATTTCTCCTGTCACCAAATAAAATGAAATTCATAGACCTGCTCCTAGCTAACGTGATACACTTTTTATGGCTAAATAAGGCCTTGAAAATGAAAATCTTCTGCCCTTCTCATGAGGTATATAGATCCAAATTAAATGAGCAAGTTACATTAAGGCACCTGCAAACCTTGAAAAGGGTGTATTGGCTTGTTCACGCTTCCCATGGATAATAAACTCACTCATCAACTGTCTTCTAGAGAGCAAGCCAAGGAAAGTGAATGTTGCCCTGCCTTAGCTTCCTTTATATGTTCTCAGTTTTCTGAAATCGGGCATATCTTCTGCAGATAGGACTATAACAGATTGATAGATACCTTAGGATCAGTTTACACATGAAAAGGTAATGATTGATCCCTGGCTACTCTGTGAACATCCATTTAGTTCACTGTGCAATTTCAGAAGTAAATCAGAATAACTGGTTGAAAAATAAAAGGAGGTAAAAAAGCTCACCTTCCTTCAGCTTTAGAAAATATATGTTGTGTTAGGAAAGGTGTTAACAGACAACATGTTTTACCTGAATGGTGATAAATATGACCAAGCCCCAACATTTTCTCCAGGTGTGCAGACTAGCCTTTGCAAGAGCCTGGAGGGATCCCCACTGGTCTCTGCAGGATTTGGCTTGAGCTCCTTTGCAGGAATGAGTTCATGCCAGTGGATGTAAATAGTCCCCTGGGGCTGCTGTTGCTGAGGTTTTTATGTATATAATAATGTGCTGGCTGGTACAAAGATGGGAAGTTGCAACCACATTGTATGTATAACTCCGCACCACTCATCCTTATCAGTAAGAGACCTTTGCAAGGACAGAAATGTTAACAGCCATAAACATGGGGGGCCAGGCCACCAACCACCGCCTGCACCCTGATGGCCTCCAGGCAGCCAGTAGCAAAGCCGGCCCCTGGGAGCATGGGGTAAGGTAAGCTGATGGCATCAGGAGAGCACAGGACTCTTCTGACTCACAACAGAGCCAATAAAAGGCACTTCTTATGGAGGAACCCCCCTTGAGGCTCACAATTTCCAACACTCCCAATGGCTGTTCATGCTGTGTTATGGTCTTTTCCCTAGTGTGGCTCCTAGGCACCTCCTGGATAACAGAACTCAGCACCATCTGAAGACCTTTTATTCTAGCCTACAAATAACAAAGATCAAGTAATGTTTCACTCCCAAACTGTCACCAAATGTCTCTGTTCTTACATTCAAATCTGGTAGAAAATACAAGGGAAGCACAGTTTTCTACCCACATCCTTGTAGGAAAAGAGGACGGCATGGTCAGTGGTCACATTTCGTTAGTCAAAGATTTGAGGTTATTCTCCTTCCCTTGCCAGATGCCAGCACTTGAAGTTAACTGAAATGAAAATAAGATTGAAAGGGCCTTTGATACTGATACAGTGCCTTCTCTTCATGTGTGCTCTTTATCGGTACTTTCAGACATCTGAGCACCAAGTGGAGCCTTGTAGAATTGGCTGTTCTTCACGTTTTTAAGGACTGTTTTCTCACTTATTTCCTGTTTTCTTAGTAGCAGCCCCAATCCCATCCAGAACCTAGATAATAATTGCATTGGTATCTCTGCCAGCTTTGTTTCAACTCCCTTTCTACTCTTTAAACAAGCTTGGAGCTCCACTTATTCCCTTCTGATACATAACTTCAGCAAAACTTGACTTGAGGCCAACAATATCTAAAAAAGGAAAAAGAAAGCTTGGGCAGAATAGGAAACAGGTAATTCTGCTGCTGTTGCAAGTGCTGGAACTTAGACTTAGCATTTTCTAATAACTTTCTCCAGCTGCCAGTTACTTGTTCAAAATGAAACACATATACCGCAGGGGGAAGAAGGCTGATGCGTTTCTAAGTTAAAAGAAATGTTGTCAAACATCTGTGTGCCACCTGGTAGCCTTGAATGAAATTTTCCCGCCTCCCAGCTGTCGCTTGCCTCGCTCTGCCTCCCCTGGTCGCCACTCTCTGCTCCAGCGGTGGCTGCGTTTCAGTGGGTTTGCACTTACAATATCATGCCAGAACCCGTAGACTTCATTTTCATCGAGTCCAGACTCCCATTGGAGTTCACCTGGGCAAGGAGTCAGGAAAAGCGAGTGAGGACCTCAAAGCCCCGTCTGGAGCATCAGAGTGCGCTGGGAGCCAGCGAGACCCGAGGCCTTTCTGCAGGATGCAGCCTGCACGCGAAAACCTCAGCCCCCTGAGCGCCCACCCAGAGCAACAGGGAGGCCTGTGTTGGTGTGGGGAAGCCCCAGCACCCCTCTGATTTCTGAACAGAAAACATCAAAGGCCACCCAATCTCAGACTGCCGGCTCCCTCTCCTGGCAGAGCACGGCAGTGGGAACTGGAGGGGGCAGAGGGGGCTGCTCGGCACCCCGGCTGGCAGCGCAGGGGGAGCCCTGCCAGCAGCTTAGTGCGGGATTAGCGGAGCAAATCTATTCTAGCGAGGAACATCTGTGACATAGCTTTAGCCGCATAGAAAATAGGTGCTTGAGCACAGATAAAACTTCATTGCTGCGCATTATCTGCAGCCCTTAAGGTTGGGGGTAGTGCAGTTCATTCTCTAATGCTCTGACACCAGGCTGGCTGGGCTGCGACTCCGCTCCAACACCGCGCGGCCTTCCCCTGTTTGCTGATTGTAAACACCCAGCCCACCCTGCACTTCCCAGCCTGTAACTTAGTCCTGGAGAAACACTCAGATACTGTCAGGATGAACCAGTCACTGTGGCAGGTAGCGTATGGCACAGGGGCTCTCATGAGCAGCCTCCGGGCCCCACAGACGTGTGCTGCATTTCCATATATGAAGGTGCAGCCTCCTCACCAGGAAGCATTCACAGCATCCCAGCTATGGTGAAACACGGGCCGAAGCCATGTCCCTGGACGTGACATCCACCTCAACACCAGGCACAGAGGGTGACGCCTGCTGCCTTGGCACTCATGCTCTGTCATGCCAGGGAAAGCCACCTCAAACCCAGCCTGGGCTGGCCTGGTCACACTGGCCACAGAGAGCCACCAGGCCCCATGTGCTCCTGCGGGCACAGCTCCATGATGTAGTGGCTTCCAGCCCCTGCCAGGACTTTTTTAGCAGCTTGCTTGAGGGTTTTTTTAATTTTCAGCAGAGTTTATGGCTCACATTCATGAGGAGGAGTGGCTGACAGATAGACATGCTGTTTTCTGTTGTGGTTGCATTTTCATCTAGGTGTTGTATCGGAGCAGTCTTCCAAAGCTGGTGATGCTCCTTTGCAGATCAGTGACTTGCTTCAGGATGCCTCTCACTCTCCTGCACTAACTGCAGCTCCTGCTGAAGTATGGTCTTTCAGGCCTGTGAAGGGAAGATCAAGCTGCACAAAAGGGATTCATTTGGGCTGAGGCTGTAGCCAATAAAATGCCTCATTGTAAGTTTACCATTCTGGTCATAGGAGACTTTCTGTATATTAGTCAGAATGAAGTTACTGTTTCTTCCTCAGGGAAAGAAAAGGACGTATTGAAAAAAAGAGAGAAAGACAAAGAGGAAAGCGTGCTTCTGGATTTTGCAAATATCTCTAAACGTCACTACAAGATTTTACCTGCACGCTCACCAATTTCATGTTAGGCATGGTAAGTGACTTATCTTTGCCTTATAGTAATGGAAAGTGTTCTTAAAGACACAAAGGTTGCTCTCTAGCAGATACTCATCCAGTTCCTTAGCTAGTACACATTCCTGCAGCCATCATCAGGCTGTGGTCGTATTCTGTCCTACAGAGTTAGGTTATTATTTGCTCAAAATGGGTTTCAGTTAAAGGTATTATAAAAAAGTGTAAGTCTATTTGTGCCCTGGAAAATGGTAGTTCATTTTCTTCCTTTACCTTTGATCAGTATTTTGTCCCTAGAAGTAATTACAGTTTTGTGATAAAACCAAAGCTCAAAATGAATTTACTGTATTCAGAAATATGTCTCACAATCGATCACTAAGTGTTGGGGAACACTCCCAGCTAACACAGCATTACTGTTGCCTGATTATATGTAGCTATATTAATCAGATAGAGGATATATTTTCAGACATCTGAATATGTTAATGTTTTTTCTGAGAATGTTATCTTTTAACTCTGTACCTACTTTTCTCAGTTTGCACATTTTCTTAAAGTATAGAAAGAATGTTTATGTACTTCAGGTTGTGATTCCCCATAGCTCAGGATTTGGCCCATTGCTGTGGTATGTGACACAGCTAGTATTGAGAAAAAAGGAGGTTACACCTAATGCTTTTTTTTTTTTTTTCCTTTTTATTTATTTATTTTCACCTGCTCTCCAGCCAGACTAGGTAATTAGCTTGAAATTTGAGAAACAGTTTGTGGTCTCAGATGGAGAAAGCAAAGATGAGTCAGTAAGGAGGAAATTTTCCAACCTGGAGCAGCACTGGATAAAGTGGTGGTGTTGGCCCTTCTGAGCAGTAGCAACCCCGGCAGCAATTCCTCCTCTGAACCTGAAAGTCTGCATTTCCTGAATCGACAGGCCCAGAGCAGGGCTTGCTCTTACCACCATTACTCATGTCAGAGCCCTAGTCACGTCGCTGACTACATGTGTGGTTTATGTCAGTGCACGACATGGCTGGTACCTGTTTTGTAGCCATGAGACCAGTGAGTAGTCATTTCACTAAACTTTGTAATTGATCACTAAGGGATGTGACAAACGTCTCCGTTAATCAGAGTCCCTAAATCAGAGCTGATTGGAGAGGGAACTCAGCTAGAAGCAGTTGGGGCTGATACAAAAATAATGGGGCAAAATGATGGTATGGCTGCTTCTGTGTAGCAGATCAGTTTAAATGCTGGACTCTTATAACCCTACAATTTTTACAGGAGGAGAGGGTTATGTGTGCCCATAGGCATACATGGCAGACTGCAGCTGGGTACTAACTCTCTGTCTTGTAATTTTGCAGGTCAGTGCCACTCTGGGTAGAGCCGTCTTTCTGCCTCCCAAGCACCCGCTCAGGAAGAGATCTTAAAACACATTGTTTCATGTAAAAAACATTCAGTTTTTTTGCTTCCGGAAGCTGATGTAGAAGGACAGCGCTGCTCTTCCTTAGTTTACAGACCAGTTTGGCCACACAGCTTGCTAGGTAAGGACAAGCCAGCACAGTTGTATTAGTGCCAGGAATATTGCTACTGATGGAGCTGACTGAACCGTGTTATATCAGCTGCATCCATGTCAGAGAAGCATGTCCAAGACTAGCTGCAGCTAACAAGGCTCTATTTGAGGCAAGAAAAAATAACAACAGAGTGAAATTTAGGACAATTTCAAGTACAGAACAAGCATTATGAACAGATGAGCCCTAATAATGCTAAGGTCTTCTTTATATACAAACATCTTCAGTGGCAAGAAAAAGAGAAATTCAGACAATAATAGAATGAGCTAGAACAAACACTTCTTCCAAGTGGAGTTTTTCTGTATTTCCCCTGGGATTGAATTGAATGGGGGAAGACAAAAAAAAAAAAAAAAAAAAGAAAAAAAAAAAAAGGAAGAGCGCAAACTGCTTGCAACACAGAACAAACTCTGAGTGCCAAGAACAGGCTCCAGATTTTTTTTTTAAGATGCCTGGCTCTTATCTCAGACCTGATTCATCACAGTTTACTCTCAAAGTTATTCAGAATTCAAGGACCTTGCTCCTATGGGGTTAATGGGTTATGTTCAGCATTGAAACCCATGACACAAAGAGCTGCTTAATTATTCAGTCCAGACTGGTTTTGGTGGTTAATGGAAATAAAAATAGCAACAGGAATAATTTCATTGTTTTACGTGATTTACATTTTGTAGGTGAAATTATTTTTTCTTTTAACTGTATAATCCAGGACTGTGCACAGGAAGGAGGGGGCCCATATAGAGGAGGGGTCAGGCTGCTTGTGACACAGAGGATCAGCATGCACATGACTGAAGAGGAGGAAAAGGAAAACACTGCCATAAAAGTGACAGTAGAGATGAAGAATTGTCGTGAATGTGTAATGCACCACTGAAAAGATGCAGGAGAAAACATACCAAGCTGGAAGTCTTATCATATCTGGAGTCTCACTATTCCAAAGCAGGAATTAATTTAAAGAGAAGAAGCTGCTGCTCTTGTTGGCTGACATCGCTTGTTCGTAAACACAGGAAAGAAAAACACTAAAGTGATATGGTTACCATAATTACTATCTTTGTTCAAAAAACATGGTGGCTTTCTACCCTTAATTCAGTTCAAGCAGCCATTGCAGCTAGTACCAGCCAGGAGCAAATGCCACACACTGCAGCTACTCTGACAGCAAATGCAGTAAATCTTGCACTTCAGATGCACCATACAGGATGTCAAGGTGTACTACAGACACAGGAGCACAGAAGTATTATCTAGTGTTGCTGTTACAATGAATTAGTGTGTAGCTAACCAAGAATACATTGCCAAACCAAGCCTGGCAAATGCATGCCACTCCAATAGCAAAGAAAAACCATGGGGTGATGATTCTAAACATGGGGTTTCTGTGAAGGCTCAAGCTTAGCATGTAATTATTTGAGCCCTGTTTGGAGGTCGTGCTGTGGCACTAGGTTGGAAATTGGCAGGTCAAAGAAATAATTAGGATTGTTTTAAGCCAAAGTCATCACCAAATGCAATATTGCTGTGTAAAAGGGATATCAAATCAGGGTAATCAATCCCAGCCCTGTCAGCTTCTTGTCTTGCTGTGGCTGCCCAGGGAATAGGCTCAGAACAAGGCTTTCCCAGCTGGAGGGGGCAGTGAAGCCCTGGTTAAACAGGTATCTGTTTGGTTTTGGATAAAGCTTAAAGCAAAGCTGGTTAAATGACTTGCTGAGTTGATGAAACCTTGCAGTTCTGGTTGCTGGTCTCCTCCTTTCTCACTCTGGTTTGCTGCAGTAACTGGTCTGTCTTGGTAGATTTGTTTGTAAATGCTCATTTACAGCTTACTCTAATTTAAAAATTGAAGGGGGGAAAGCTTTTAAGCCAAAACAGTTTTTGAACTTCTTTTGTTTAAAAAAAAAATAAAAAATCTTTCATGTTTTAGGAACACAAGCCAGAGTTACTTAAAGGACCAAGTCTGGGATGTTTGGGTTCAAGTTCTGATTCCCAATGCATCTCTACTTTCCTACTCTCTACTCCTGATTCCCCATTTTTTTCATTGTATCCTTGAAAAGGAAGGGAATGAAAAGGAAAATAAATACTAGTTGCTGTCTTCTCCTCTGAACGTGTGAGATAGTGGGGATTGTTTTTGAAAATTTTCAAAAGAAGTGTTAGTTTTGGCTGTATACTTTTCCATGGTTTTTCACATTGCTCACTTACCAGAAGGTTAATATTTGGATAACCCGGGAATGAGAGGACATGGGTCTGTTCTTGTAGAATTAGCTTACAGGGTGCGCTTCATGGAAAATATCAAAGGAAAGCTGAAGCATGATTGTTTTGTGTTAGGCACAGAAAGTGAAGAGTTACTCTCTGGGCCACAAGAAGTAAGGGGTCATTCTGCAAGTGACAGTGGAGGAAAGGGAGTTTTCTGCTTCTGTCACAGAAGGAAAAGGATTACCGTGCAAATGATGCTCAAGGAGAAGGATTAGGCTGTATATGACAGAGAAGAGAGGTCATCGTACGTACGTCATGAAAGGAGAGGGTAGCGTGACACAGAGCGGAAAGGATCCTTTGAAAGTCACCATGAGAGGAGAGACAATTGTGCAAGTGAGACTGGAAGACAAGATTTTATATGGGGGGAAACAAGTAAAGAAAGAAGGAAATGTCTGTACTACTAAGCAAAGAAACACAATTTATTTCACAATCAAACACTTAAAATTTTCGGGCAAAGCCCCCATCTCTATGGAGTCCTGTGCCACTCCTTAGTTTAAAGGAATACACCATTTTCAAAAATACTTGGAGCAAAAATTGAATAATGTTATCTCAAAAGATACTTTGTCATCTTGACATCAACTCAGCACACAAGTGCTGTAGGTCTGGTGAGCTTCCAGCCCTTTCCTTCATGGTTAGGATTTCTAGTGTGCCAGGAATAAGATCGATGGCCCTTCTATCTACAGAGAAGCAGTGCATGCCTAGGCAGAAGATTTTTTTTGTTTCCTGAATAAAAGAAAGAGAATCCTCTTCCATAAGAAAAGTATGTACGAAAGAAAAAGTTTTAACTTTGGTTATGACAGCAAGGAGAAGTGTTTCTCTCTATTCAAGCACTGATCCACATTTCCATACAGCACTGGTCAGGGTGTCCCCACTGTGGCTGTCCTTTTGTACGCTGTTAGGTAATGGCATGTTTGGGTGAGGGCTGTGGTGCACTGCATTGGTTTTGTGTAATGAGAAAGTAGAAATAAGATGTGAAAGTACAAATTATTTCCATCTTTATTCTGTCTTGAACCAATATCTGATACAAGACTTGCTGGTTATTTTGGGGTTGGTTTGTCTTCATGCGATGATCCTGACCTCCAGTTATAGCATAACATATCGCTCTCAAATGTAGTGCAACACTTTGTACCAGGAACCACATTTCAGAGAAGGTGAAGCTGGGGTCAGACACATTCCTGCTAATTGCACTGATTGCAGGAGAGTTATACCATGATTGAATTTGGTGTCTGATGTTAAAGAGGGTAGCTGCTAACTGCCTTTAAGGAGGACCCAGAAAAAGGAGGCTAGACAGTAACTCCCTGCCCAAGCACATGCACACATGCACAGATAAGTGTTGCTAAACTTTTGGGGGAGTGTGGTATGTAAGGAGCGAGTCCAGGTCAAGCTATGCAGGGGTTTGGAGGGTGATACACAACCAATCAGTGATGGAAAATGGGTTTCTGTATGTCCATTAATTCTGTAGTGTTGTTACTGTGTAGACTAAATCTAATATATTGATCTGATTTCTTCAAATCAGGCCTTTAAATCAGTGAAATGGCATGGCCACCAGCTCATTCCTGCAGTTACTACGGTGTTCTGACTGCTCTCATCTTCCACAAAGTTTATCTGCCATTACCATGATCCCACTAGGCAGCATATAGGTTTCCTTCCTGACCTGACTTTTTTGTATTTTTTTCCCTGTTGATCTATCCATAATCTCTCTTTGAGTTGGAAAAATCTTACAAATAGGGCAAGGAGAGCCACGCAAGCTCTAGTGCATGCGGACTATCACAGACTAGTTCTGGCTCAGTAATATGCGATGTCAAGGCCAAACAAATCCTGTCTCTCCACTATAATTTATGATTTGATATATCAGGGAAAGTATCAGTTCATTACCCTACTATAATTGGGCTCCCTTTCTTCCACTTTCCCCAGAAATCCTTGCTCCCAAAACCTTTTCTTCTCAGACATCCAGGCTCTGAAAATTGCCTGAGCAATACCTCGTTTTGTAAATGTTTCTGTTGCCTGAGTCATCCTGTACCTTATTGCTGAGAAGAGTGCAGTCCTGCAGAGTAAGGGGAATTGCCTAGGGTTTAGGAAGGCTTACCAGCTTGGGCTTAAATTCATCAACTAAGAAACAGGACATTCATTTGCATCAACCTGAGGTTGCTTGACTGGCAGAGCTCTCACTAGTGGCTACCTCAGGAGACTGAGCAAGTTGCGGTTTATCTAGTTCTAAGAGTTATTCTGTCTGTGCAGGGGAAAAAGAAAAAAGGGGGGGGGGGGGGGGGCCGGGAGGACACGACACCATAAATGAGATTTTAGCTGACAAATGTTTTGATTTGAGTTCTTTGGAAGGATTCAGCAAAATTGTCAGAGTGACTTTCTGTGCTGAGATCCAGCTGCTCTTCTCCTTTGGCTGCTGTGCCTTCCCACCAGCAGCAGGAAGGCCAGGCTCCCTTTGAAGCCCTTGGCTTCTGACAGCATGCAACTCCTGCCCTGCAGATACGCTGACATAAGTACAATATGTCCTTCGTGTACAATATGCCTTTGCTGAATGGGTTGATGAGGAGGCAGAAAATAACCCCAGCAACTGAAGTTTAGCAGCTCTGGTTCACTGTTTAAAGTCATTGGGCTTCAAAAGGAAAGGAGCAGGGTATAAGGACCAACCCAATTCAGTGTAATTCTGTTGTTCTGTAATTCAAAGGAAAAGGTGGAGTAAAACCAGCTAAGGATCTGATTCTGAATGATGCAGGCAAGTTTGGAACATGCTTGTAACTGTTATTTATGTAACTTTCAGGTAACTAAGGCTGACTTCTAAAATGGCTTCTGTAAAAAGCTCCACAAAGCATGCACAATGCAATTTGTGACTGCTCCCCTGTACCAGTGCGTGGAATGGGCTCACAGCACGTTTCCCAAGAAGCAGGCAGTGACCATGGAGCAAGTTTTGTACTGAAATCAGGAGAAACTGTAAGTTTTGGCTTGAAGCTTGTCAAGTTTAGAATGAGTCAGTGTTGACTTGAACTCAATATCTATAAGCAGAATCAATATAATCCTTGCAAAAATAATAATAAAAAAATGTGATCACCGACTGCACGCAAACAGCATCAACCCTGCAGTACAAGCGCAGTGGCGAAATATCTCAGGCCATGTTTTTGGTGCTGCTGCAAAGCATTTGTGACCAGACAGAAGTGGGTGGCACGGGCCCTATTGAAGCTGTGGTCAGGCAGCAGATCATTAGGTCTGTCCCTTACTGACACATCTCTCCCAGGTAGGAACAGCTCTTCAGTTAGGTAAATGCTTGATGAGGTGTTTTTGCTTGCAAAGGAATTGAGCATGACCTAATTAAAGGTGATCTTGTGGCACAGAGTTCTTTCTCCCGATTTTGTTCTTCCCACAGGCTGGTATTTTGCAACCCAAGGCTTCAGCTCAGATCCCCTGTTCAGAAATAGATCTGAACACAAGGCAAAGGGAAATAATTTTCTCGTTAACTCACCTGAGCTGTCAGGGATTCTGTTTTCTCTGTTAAGGATGATGAAATTGCTAACCCCAAAAGCTCCCTGCCCTTCATTTAGGGATTAGTGACTTCATCAACACGAGCAAAACAAACACAGAGCTCTGAACTGAGATCTTGGCAAGTTCAAAGCTTCCCAGTCCAAGATGAGAAAATAAGGAAACACTTACGGCAGCAACACTATTTGAGCCTTTTAACAAATGAAGGGACCTACAAGCTAATGATAAAGGCTTTGGAGCCAATCAGCCAAGCTCATCCCTGCTGTAAACCTGGTATTCTTCCAATTCAAACAACAGAAAAGGGGCAAACAAGAAAAATCCTTGGTAGCAAATGTGATTAGATGAAGCAAACAGTAAAGGCTCCACTGTAACTGCAGTTCATCACGCAATTAGTTTCTTAACAGCTTCACCATTCAGACGGCCTCTTCCCTGGCGCAGCGCCACGCCAGCCAAATAAATCAGCTCTGCATGCACAGCTGTCAGTGCGAGCTGCGTCTCCAGGCATCAGGGGCTGAGCTGGAAGGCTGGATTGAAAGGGAGAGGGGAGAGAGGCCCCAGTAGGTAGGTGGAAACAGGGCCTCAAAGAGAGGAAGAGGTAGCCAAGAAGCAACGGCCTGATTGCACAGGGTGTCCAGGAGTCCCTCGAGAGTGAAAGGACACAGCAGAAGTGTTCTGTTAGCAAAGGCCTTTGTATCTCTGGCTCTGCTCACCTTCAGAAAGAGAGAGCTGCCACCTTCAGAAAAAAAGAGCTATCGCTAACTAAAGCAGTATTTGTTTGGAAGCGGGGCAAAACCAGAACAGTACTCTAGGGCTAGGCTCAAATGGGCACAGCTGGGTTTTGGGCTCTTAGGATGAGGTAAAATCTTGTTTGTTTGTTTGTTTATATGCTTCACAGCAGGTCTGCTGTTGAAAGGTGACTGAAAATTATTTGATAGAATCCTTTTTGCCTGTAAACATTTTTATTTATTTATTTATTTTTTACAAATAACTAACACAGCATATTTCAATTATGTGGGGAAAGATCACAGTAGATGTTCTTCTTAAATCTCGAGGATGGGAGGCTATTTCAGCATTGTCATCTCATTTATTTTCTCTTATATGATTGTAGAATGTGTAGAAAGAACAGAACTATGGTCAAATTGAAATGGGGGCCAGGTTATTGTAGGTGTTTATGGAACAGAAGCAGAGTTGACATTTTCTGTAATATGCGTCTGGTTTGAGGGGTAGCGATGGTGGTTTTTTTGTTTGTTTGTTTTTGGTTTTTTTGAGGGGAGGGGAGAGAGTGTTGAAAATTAGCCAATAAAATGTTTCCCAAAAACAGTGTTTTGATCTAAAAGAAAGAGAAAAATTATTTGAATTCTTTGGAAAGTTTGAGTACATAACATGCCTCATAACTCCCCTAGACCAGTGTGGAAGAAATTGTACTGCAACAATATTTTGGGATTAAATGAGCTACTTAGCCCAAGGCATCATTTAAGGTGCTTTATTATTTAACACAAACTGTGTTATTGCTTATATAAGAAATCCTACTCTACATCTATTTGTAGTGTAATACCGCTGAAGTTAGGGAGTTGACACTGAGGACGAATTTGCACTCTTCCTGTGTTCTTCACTTCATTTGACCTCAAAACCAGAATCACAATTACTTATTTATCAGTGTTAAAAGTTTGGCACCAGTATGGGGAAAAAGGGGGGGGGGGGGGGGAGGAAGGGGATGGAGAGGGATGGAAACAAACAAACAAAAAAAGAAAAACACATTAAAAGCTGATCACGGGAGTTCCTGCTCAAGTTTATACCTGCCAACCCAAAGCAGTGCAACAGCCACGATGGCTTCAACTGATAGCTGTAGATAAAATGCTCTGGCCTGCAAACCAGCTGAGTTGAAAATAGAAAGCGGTGTTTGCATGTAGATACCTAATTTCTCTACTTGAATTCATGCAGTGGAACTACCATTAACTCATAACTCAAATACTGAAGTACTTTGTGAACAAAAAGACTCTGTGCCCTGCCTTTGGCTTCAGTTGGAATGGCTCCTGGCTTTCTGAAGGCCAGATGTTCGCCCTATCTTGTGCCGATAATTTTGTTCCTCTATTTAAAGCGAAGGTTATTGTTTTTTAAATGGGAAAGGGAAAATATGTCTGAAGTCTACAAATATATCTGAAGATTTTTAAAGTCCATTTTCAGCATCGGTGTTCAAGTCACCTGTCCACAGATCTAAAGCTATTTTAGGATATGTTTAAAATACCAGAAGAAATGGAACTACCCTTTAAAACTGAACCTGTGTTCTTTGTGACACACTTTGTGATTTTGAAGTTACAGCTGATAAAAATATAGTTGTAATTTATTTTTAAGTACTTAACTGTATTTATGTTTTTACTTCTAATAATGAATTCCCACATTTCAATGGCTTCTGACCAGCTGTACTGGAACCAAATCCACAGGGAGTTAGGACTCTTCACAATACTTCTGACCCAAAATCCATCAAATCTCATTTTTTGTTTTGTTTTTGTTTTTTGTTGTTGTTGTTTTTTAATGTACCTACAAGGCTAAGATATTCATCACAAGAACCAGACACATAGACTGAGATTTCAATCATATTTACAACAGCATAAATCAAGTAACTTCACTGAGGCCAATGGAGTTACTCTGGATTTACACTCATCACTCTAACAAATATATAAATATATTTAAAATAAAAAAAAAAGTACCAGTTAGGACACTGATTATTTTATCACTGAAAACATGATGGAGCTTTATTTTTTTTACTAACTGAAATATATATATACATATATATATCTGTTTTTTACGTGTGTCTTCAGTGAACAAGTATATTACATTTTGAACAGAATTCCTATTTTCTATGAAAAATTGAATTTTATATTTTTAAAAAGAATTCCATATACTAGCAAACTATTTTCTTTAGGAAAACTCTTCTGATGGAAGTTTTATGACCTGCTAAAGCCTAACTCATAATTCATACAAATCAGACAGTGCTCAGCAGATGTTCAGGAAGGAGCAAGCCAGTGAAAAACCTAAATGACACATGCAGTCCTGTGTGGTTACACTTGAGGTTCTTGGTGTAAAAACAGGCAGGATGGGACAGTAGCTAAGGCAGAATGAGTTAGGGGAGTTATTGATTTTTTTCATTCAGTAATGCACCTAGTTTTTGTTTCAAGGAGGAAAAAGGTTTCAGATCAAATAAGAAATACACCAATTCCACTCTTAAAGAAATATTCCTGAGTGCTTTTTACCCCAGCTGCTGTGAAGTCTAGCTCATTTTTATATGCAAAGTGAAAAATTTTGCATCTTAGAACATGTCAAACTATATAGCTATAACTGTTCAAGAAGTTTGACTTGATTTTGGCAAATATCTCTGTGACTCTGAAACTGCCATTGGCAGTGAATAAGATGATTGAATGGGAAAACTCTGAATCTGAGGAAGACTCTGAAACCTGGCCACAGGAGCAGCTTGCTCTGGGTCTCAGGACGAGCCTCCAGGACCAGGTCCTCACACGTACTTGCTTTTCCTGGAAAAGCAGTGTTTTCAAGATCTCTGCCACAGTGTCTCTATTAATTCTACAGTCGTATCACTGCACAAATATATGAAGGACCAGCTGGATTAATGCAGATGCACAACTCTAAAGAGCAAGACCCAGTGCTTTCTTCACTGTGGCCACTGAAAGAAAAACCTGACAGTATTTGCACATAAACAAACACTCCTCTTTCTTTCTCCAAAATGTAGAAT